TTCCTCCCCTCAGGGTTTTAGGAATAAACTTAAGGTGTTGGGGGATAGTTTTCTAGTAGTGTCACTCACAAACCCTCATCTGATCTGCTCCTCTTTGATTATTAGTCAGACTTAATTAGCTTTTAGAAGGAGTATTTACCAAGCAGATAGAGCAAGGAAGATTTGGACCCAAATAACTCCCCTCCCCCTCAAGTCTAGGGTATACTCTCCTCTGACACACACAAGTCCCAAGGGAGAGTGGGCTCAAGCTTAGAGAACATGAGGCAAAGGGTTAACTCACAGCTCTTGATTTTTGGAAGCCCTTTTCTCCTTTCATAGAGTCCTCTAGAAGGGACATGGGGTTCTCTGCTGGGCTCTCACGGTAGGTGACCTTGTAGAGTCCTTGAGTTGCATTTCCTCAGTGTTCTCTAGGTCTTCCGTGGCTCCTCATGCAGACACTGCCATCAGCCACTGTTGTTCTAGGAACACTGCTACCAACACAGATGTTCAAGTCTTCTAACCTTTCCAAAGTCACAAAGTTTACCTCTGATGAAAGGGAGCGTAGAGAAGGCGGAGGCTCCTCCTGACTCAGCCCCCAAGTGATACTCTCTCTGTTGCTTCGCTACAGTTGTTCCACTATTAGTCTGGTCAGTTATTGGAATGCCACATTCTGACCTTGCTTGCCAAGCCCCATTGAAGATGACCAATTCACTTCAACCACAAGATGTTTCCTATGAAGCATCATCTGCTTTCATTAAACGACTCAAGTATTTCACTTCTAAATTATTTAAGAACTTATTCCTACCTAGTCTGTATCTTTGATTGATTGACACTCACCTGATAAAGACATTGAGGCATAGAGCATCTTGTTCTTCACATTAATGGGGATGACAGGCTTTGGGACACTATCTACATATATAAATACCTACATATACATAATATACACACATACACAATACTCATATAGGTGTATATATTGCATATATCTCTCTACATACACATATATATGCACATATAATCAGTTTTTTTGTTATTGTTCAGTTGTTCAGTTATGTCCAGCTCTTTGTGACCCTGTGGACCATACTGTCATTAGGGCTTTCTTGGAAAAAGTATTGGAGTGGTTTGCCATTTCCTTTTCCAGTGGATTAAGGCAAACAGAGGTTAAGTGACTTGCCCATGGTCACATAGCTAGTAAGAATCTGAGGCTAGATTTGAACTCAGGTCTTCCTGACTCCTGGGCCAGTGTTTTATCCACTGGGCCATGTAGCTTCCTCTTCATAGGATGAATAGAGTAGAAGAAAAAATGTTTTTCTAATTAGAAAATAATTGAGGTAAAATGAACTAAAGACCATAGAAATCACAGCTTTTGGTAAGAAGGATAATAGCTAGTATTTATATAGCACAAGGTTTGCAAAGTGCTTTTACAAATACCTCATTTTTTGTCCCTCAAATCAACCCTGGGAAGTAGGTGTTATTATTCATATTTTTTTCATAAGAGGAAAGTGAGGTTAAGAGAGGTTAAATGACTTGTCCAGGGTCACACAGCTAGTTAGCTTCTGAGGCTGGATTTGAACACAGGTCTGTTCTGACTCCAAATCTAGTGCTCTATCCTAGTCTCTGTCTCAATTGTTATTAAGCCTTAATCACTGAATGGGTATTGCCCCAGTCTAACTGAGACCTGTAAAAGACCTTAGCTTGAAAAGGCCAAAGTCCCCCACTGCACCCTGGGCCATCTCCAGTGGTCCTGATCTATATCTGGCCGCGGGACCCAAAGGGCTCTGGAAGAGAAAGTAAGGCTGGTGACTTTACCCAGTCCTCCTGCACTTAAATCCAATTCACTTGCATGTCATGGTCCTCTTTAAGAATGAAGGGCAAACAACAACAATCCTATTTGCTGCACCACCTAGTTTTCCAAATTAAATACTCAATCTTTAAGTGTAATCTTAAAGATACTGATATTATAAATTTTAGAGCTGGAAGGTTAACTAGTCCACTCCATTCATTTTATAAATGAAGAAACTGAGGCCCAGAGAGATTAAGTGATTTACCAGGTCACCCAGGTAATAAGTTACAGAGCCAAGATTCAAATCTATCCTCTGACTCTAAATCTATGGCTCCTTTCATTGCCTCCTGTTGCTATCTTGTATACGAGCAGGATAATGGAAAAAATTGGTTGCAATCGGGAGGCCTTTTTGCTACATCTATACGTTCCCTCTCAAGTTAGATATAACAGTTCACCTTGCCAAAGCTCATCGAGACTATAATGCTGGAGCAAGACATTCTTATCTAATTGCTCTTTGGAGTTGTTAAATTGACAAGTCTTTATTGTAGGATGCTTCTATTCAAGTCTCTGCTTTGACATAGAACTAGAAACAGATGAACCCAATGTCTTGTATGTAACGATTCATCATTATAGTCACATAGATTTGTTCATTTCTATTAAGTGCCATACAGAGAGGAGCGAAATAAGGGAGCAGCAAAAGCAAGAATATTTATTCATAGCAATTTGAAACCATGTGTGCAATTTTTCAAATGTTCTACAGGTAGCATATATTAGTGGTTAGAAAGCCACCCTGAGCTGGAAACACCTGGATTCAAGTCCTGACCTCTCAGCTCCCTAGACGATCCTCTAAGACAATGTAAGTTTCACAGAGAAGGTATCAACCAGCCCTGATATAGGGTGTTTCTTGGCGGAGGGGTTATCCATGTGCCAGTGAAGTTACAGATCCACTCTCTCTATGGAGGCACCTAGGTGGGACAATGGATGAAGCTCTGGGTTGGAAGTCAGGAATATCTGAGTTCAAATCCCACCTCGGACACTAGCTGTGTGGTCCTGGGCAAGATACTTAACCTCTTCTTGCCCCAGTCTCCTCAACAGTAAAATGAGGATAATAGCACCTACACCACAGAATTGTTGTAAGGATCATGAGACATTCATAAAGCACCTGGCACACATTAGGTGTTCAATAAATGCTTGTTCCTTTTCCTTTCCCTCCATCCCTCAAATGTTCAGTATATCATTGTGTTTATGTTATTATAGTCATATGTTAGACAATGAATTAAAATCTTAGGTCCAGAATTCATCCAGTAGGATCAGGATGTACATTTGGTGAAAATGTTGGGTGGGGGGGTAGACCATCCCCCCCACCTAATTAAGGAGTCATTTGCTCAGTAAACACTTTTGCCAGAATATATATATATACACACACACATATGTGTGTGTATATACACACATATACACACGTGTACATATACATATACGAACACAGTAATTTACTTTACTTTGCTTTTCTCGATACCTGTTGGTGGCAGAATGGGCTTAATGAAAAGTTTCAGTGGGGGGTGCTTTTCTTTATTTACCAAACTGTTTTAGGAGGAGCTTGAAGATCAGCACGGGGGAGACCAACTCTGTGGAACCCCACGTGTATGGATGTGGCTTTCATTTGAAGCCCAAGAATGTGGCACATCACGCAGAAAGCAGAACTCCAGCGAGGAGGTGGGGGTGGGGCGGCCCGGGGGAGGCGGTTAGGGCATCTGCAGGCTCACCCCACACACCCCTTGTCGACTAGTCTGCAGGGAGTTGGGACCCCAGGGCTTGGCGCGGAGTGGAGACAGACCCCACAACGGGTGCAGCGAGACGCCCAGCTAGAGTTAAGACCAATGCGCGGTGTCTCCTCCTGCACGCCCCGCCCCTCCCCGAGCGATCGATCAGCTCACGAGGTGCAGGGAAGGCCCTGTCCCTGGGTCTGGTGGCAGTCTTCCCGCCAAGTTAACTATGCAGCCCAAAGAGCTCGGGGCCCGGGGCACGCTTTACATTCAGACGTCCCGACACAAAGGGCTCCAGCTCGGGCCACGGAGGACAGCTCCTACAGCTCCCACGTGGCTGCCTCCCGCCACCCCCCCACCCCATTTAAAAACTATTAGTTCTACAGGCTACCGGTCCACAGCCCCCACCCACGGAGCAGGAAAAAGGGCGGGACCCACAGCCGAGAGGGCTAAGGCGGGCTCAAGACTTGGGCGGGAGATGGCGGGGAGGGGGCGGGGCGGGGCTGACCTGGGGCTGAGGAGAGAGGGAGCGAACACAAGCCCGCGCGCTACCAGATCAAACTCGCGCTTCCACCACCACACTGGCTGCGCCCCACCCTCTCCGTCACCAAAGGCGCCCGACCAATGAGCAGAGAGGAAAATCGGGGCCTGAGGACCTCGAAAGGGGAGGTGGTGGGAGGTGGGGAAGGCTACTTTTGATTGGCAGGTAGCATTGACCAATCCCCGTACGGCTTCCCCTTGTCCTCCCTGCTCCACTCATCTCTCCCTTGCCTACCACCCCCCCCATCCAGACTCCCTCTCAACCCGTCCTACCTCCCCTCCCCCACTCTGCGGGCAAATCGCTGCTGGAAAGAGGCGGGGGCCTGAGCGGCAGGCTCGTGTGGAGGCTTTAGGTGGGACTGATGGCTCCAGCAGCCAATGCCTGCGTGTCTGACGGCACGGCGGCGGCCAGCTTTGACCAATGAGCTAGCGGGCTGGGGGAGGAGGCCCAGGTTCCAAACGCTCCGCGGCGCCATGGGCTGAAAACTCAACCGAGATGGAATCTCCCAGTCTGAACCGGTTTCAACCGGTTCCGAGTTTGTGGCACTAGAAGGAGGGGGAGAAGCGGCGCGGCGGCAGCAGCAGCAGCAGCAGCAACAGCAACATCCACATCCACAGCAATAGCAACAGCCCCGGCAGCGGCGCCTGTTCCAGTTTTTGCTGCTGCCGTCCGTGCAATCACCCGGAGGGGGAGGAGGGAGCCGCCAGTCGCTGAGGAGAAGGAGGAGGAGGAAGAGGAGGGGAGAAAGTTTAGGGGAGCCGGGTTGGGGGGGCCCAGCCGCCGGAGCCGAGTGAGAGAGGGGACTGTGTTGTGGTGGGGGGAAGTCGGACTGCACCTGGCAGCATTGTGCGTCCCCCTGACTGTGGACTTCAGCGGCGCCCCCCCTGCTGCTCCTGTTGCTGCCTGGCCGGAGGGTCCCCTCGGGGCTGAATCTCTGGGACGTAACCCCCCCTTCTCCCCTCCCCCGCCCCTCCTTCACCCCGGCGGGATCGTCGATTCATCCGCTTCGTTATCGTTATTTTGGGGGGGTGCGTGTGAGGCGGGGGGAGGCGTCATTGGAAGAGTAAAACGTTGTTGAGCTTTTTTTTTGCCCTTTTCCTCCCCTGATTTTTTAATTTCCTTTTTTTTTTTTTAAGGTGGGCAAACTGTGAAACCCACCTTCGTCTCCCCTCCTTCCCCCCTCCCCACCTTCCCTCATCCCCTCCCAGTCCCCCCCGCAAGGAAGGACGAGGCAGTTGGTTCAATCTCTGGGTAAGTCGGAACATGTAATGAGCGATCTTGGGGGGTCGTGGGGGGAGAGGAGGGAGGGGAGTTTAATCCTGAGGGCTGGGGGGGCCGGAGCTGGAACGAGCGGTGAAAGGAGAGATCCTGGGTGGGGTGAAGTGGAAGGATCGGAGGGGGGGGCGTTTCGCGGCACGGCAGTGGAAAAGGCCCCGGAGTGGGGGTACGGGCCTGGGTGTGTGGTGTGGTGCTGCAATTGAATGGAACAGCTTCTGCCACTGGGGTGGTGGGAGGGGAGGGAGGTGGGGTAGACGGCCGCGGGAGGCAAAGGGCTGCTGCTGTTGGGCTGTAAGCGTGTGCAGGGAGGGGGATGATGGAAAGCAAAGGGACAGTGGTAGTAAGGGGGGGCCCGAGTGCTGGTTTGAGGGCTTTCCCCGTTGGCTGGGGTGATTTGGGGAACAGCTCTGTAAATTATTATGAGTGGAAGTTTCCAGAAATATTGAGTGCAGCAGCAGGACCAGCAGCATTGAAACGTCCGCCTGCATCACGTGGCCCCCTGGTAGAGAGAGCTGGGATCGGGAGGAGGGAGGGGCTGCAGTGTAGCTGCTCCGTCTGCTAGCCAACTCCGGGGCTCGCGTGTGTGTGTGTGTGTGTGTGTGTGTGTGTGTACACACGTACGTGTGCCTGTGTTTTAAAGCTTTGGAGAGAAATAGAACGTTTTGGTTTAAATCGTAAAGTGGTGCCTTTATACTAACACTTTAGAGATCACTTTAAGTCCGATGGCCTTATGCACATTTAGACTCAAAAACATGTAAACCAATTTGCTAGGGCATTGTAGTATGAGCGCGTTGATCAGCCCGCTTCTCGGGAACGGGGGGGGGGGGGGGGTGCCCGAGGGGGGGGGGGAATATAAAAGGGGCGTTTGTTTGTTGTTGTATTTTTTTTCATCTGCTACGGTCCACTTCTGATCACGTACATGCCTTGTTACACAGAGACTAGGGCGGTGAACTTAAGTCGCGTTTGGTCTGAATACCTTTCCCGAGTAAGGGCGGGGGTGAGTGCCCCTGACTGAATTCTATAGTTAGAAGTGCAGCACAGTCAGTTTTGGGTGGGAGGCCAGAGGAAAGCAAGGGAGGGTGTGTTTCTCCTGAATGAAGCTGGCTACTTCCCACACACCTAAGTAGCTGTCTCCTTGTAGTGACTTGTCTTTGACCTATTGTGAAGTTATCTTTAAGCAACGGTTATGACTTTCTGGATAGGGGATGGGCAGTGTGTAACTATTGGCTTGTTTCTGTTGAAGTGCAAAAGCCTTCATTGGATAGTACTAGCTCAGATAAAATGTTAATCCTGAGTGGAGAACTGGAACCTAATTAACTGGTGTTTGGAGCGGAGGGGGCAGCAAAAAAGGTATTTTACCTGGCAATTGGATATTTCTTCCGAGTTTTGTTAACACTTAAAATCTTTTATGGAGAGAGGAAGCTTAAAACACTGATGGTTGAAGTTGAATTCTTTTCTTCTTTTTGATGGGGATGAAGTCAAATGTGATTGACATTGACCATTTCTGTACTTTAAGAATAGGTGGGTCATTTTGGACATAATACTGAGACTGACCCGGTGCTATCATCATGGGGGGTATTGACTCTTAACCTTGAAATAGATATCCTGAAGACCGGTGGGGGGGGGGTAGGGTGGCGAGACCCTAGCCAGTAAAATTCAGCACTTAAAAGTGCAACCTCGGTTGCATAAAAAGTAATTATATAAACTCTTTATGTTTTTATCCATTGACAAATAATGTACTTGACTAGAACCAAGTAAGAGAAAAAAGTTAACTATTTCCTTGCTAACCATTCAGTCCTAATTAAAAAACACTTTTGAGTTGTAAATTTTCTGTTCTACATGAATGATTTGTTTTCTAAACCTAAAAGATGCTACTCTTGATCTTAGAATTTTTAAAAATTTCATTTGGGTAAGGAAAGAGTTAAGTGGCACCATTGAGACCGTGTATGAGAGAGATTTCAATTTTTCTTTTTGTCCGTAGTTATTTTTGACCCAAGATTCTGTAGCTATGCTTATGACAGGTGCTGTGTTCTAAAAATATATGTTGTGTAACACCTAGGTTTAAAGAATTGATGTCCTGGTTGTAAACTAGTTAATAGACTGGTATGTTTTGAGAGTAGTTAATTATTTAATCTCCTTAGAAAGTCTGTAAAATAATTTCTGCTTTTTTTGTGTCTTAGGGTAAATTGCATTTTTAAACTTAATATTGACTTTAGGATTTTCATTTTACTTAAGCAGAATGTCATAACTTAATTTTTCTACTTTGAAATTAATACAAAGTAACTAAATAAGCCACATAAAATACAAATTAAACGCCACTCATTCAATCTTAGGCTTTTGCTTAGTTTTAAATTTAGAAAGTTACAATGAAATAGTCTTCAAATTTTTCAGTGACAAAAGTATTAATGTAGTTTGGCTTTACATTTTAATATTGCTGGTGAAAATTCCCAAATTTCTATGCTATTCTGACTTAGTGAAGTTGTTTTAGACCAGAAAGTCAGAAAGTATAAATGACCATTGATAGAGAATATAAGTTATATTTAGAAGTAGCCGTCCTCCAAAAAATGCCAAACAATCCACTCATACACTATTGACAGGGGAAAAGGTGTAGAAGGGCTTCAGAGACATACATTTTGAAAAACAAAATTGTATACTTTCAACCAGCTAGGTAAACTCTACTCTTTGATAAAGTTGTTGAAAACAAAGTAAGATTTTAATACAACGAATTTCATTGACAAGCAAGAGAAATTTTTAATTGACTCCAAAAACATTTTAATTTATTTTCTTGGATAGAAGCAAACATGATTTTTTTCTTAAACATGTAGGAAGTTCAAATCCATTAGATTTTTCAAAATAACTAAATTTTTTTAAAGGAACTTTTTTTTAGATGCCAAGGGTATGTAGTGTGTCTGATTATTAAAATCACATATTTTTTAATCATAGGCACATAGAGGTTGAGTGGAAAAGGACCTTAAGGGATAGACAGATTGGTTAGGCCAAGGTTACACAGGTGGCTGACACTGGGTTTGAAACCAGGGCCTCTGAAATTCCCATTCCTGAGCTCTCCTCAACTTTGCCTCACTACCCATAGATCACAGAGTGTTGCAGCTAGAGGGGACCTTAGAGAGCTAACCTTCTTTGATTTATTGATAGGAGATCCACAGAAGTGATTTTTTATTTTTTCAACTGCTAAGGTGACAGTTGTTTAAGGTCCTAATTGGTATCTGAACCCTGTTCATCTTTATCCCTAGTCTAGTACACAACTCCTTTGCTGCAAGCTCTTAGGCTTTTATGACATGCCCACATTTTGAAGTTAGGTGGTCTAGGTTTCCACTTTGGAAAATTGCAAAAAATAATTGTACTTCAGACTTTGTACCAGTACTTCAAAGTATGAAGTCTATACTGCTAATCTAGTCGAAAGAGTACTGGACTAAGAGTAAAAATGGATTGTTTATAACTGCCTCAGATGTGTATTGTGAGACCATAGAAAAGTTACTTAATTCATTTTGCCTCAATTCTGATAATGTCTTATCTTCCTACTGTTTTTTTTCTACCGAGATAATGGCCTAAAGTATAATTTATTAATGGTTTTGGTAAATGTTTTGGCTGAAATTTGAAATAAAATGGCTGAAATAAAATTTCTGTATGAATAAAAATTATTTTTGATCAACAGTAACTTCATGGTATGATCTTCTGTTGTTTTTTTCCCCCTCTGTTTGCAGTAATCTATGCCAGCAATTATGACAATGTTAGCAGACCATGCAGCTCGTCAGCTGCTGGATTTCAGCCAAAAACTGGATATCAATCTTTTGGACAGTGTGGTGAATTGCTTGTACCATGGAGAAGGAGCCCAGGTAAAGTATAAAAACCAGGGCTGATACAGATTGAATTGCATTAAAAATATTCTACTATTAGGCTAAAGTTGAATTAATATAACAATTTTATATGACCAGACAATCTGTGGAAAGAAGCATTTTGTAAGTTATTTTAGAACCTTGGTATAAGTGGGTTTTGATGATGAGCCTGCCACTTAATCAACTTAATTCAAATCATATCAGTATGCTTTGTCTAAGTTAATCTCATAATAAAGATGTATCTTATGAGAATATGTATCTAGAGTTGGAAGAGATGATTGAAGCTTAGGGGTAAAGTAGGATCTGAGATCAGCAATCCAATCAGTACTCTCACTGCTTCTGGAAAAGTTGTTGACTGACTCATGGTTCTACTTACCATCTCTGTAGCTTAATGGGACCAAAATACCCATTCTTAGCCACAATTCCCCTTTATGTTTTGTCTCCCTCATGAGACTCTAAACTTCCTTGAGAGCAGGGCTGTCAATTTTTTGTATTTGAGTCTACAGCACCAAGCATAGTTCCTGGCACATAGAACATAGTAAATGCTTAGTCATTCATACCTTCAAATGATTTGCCCAAAGTTACCTTGGTGTTGTAAGTATTATTTCATCCTCCTGATGTTTAGCCATAAAATTTGTATTAAGAAATATGATTTAATACTCTTAAAGGAGACTGCCACAAACGGGGTTGAAGGTGAGAAATAGTGAAGGAACTTGTGTGTTATGTATACAAGTATGCACATGTAGGTATATATGTATTTCCTTTCCTCTTGTTTGCAGAATTTAGACTTCTGGCCATAGAAAATCATGTCCTAAAATATGTAACACTTGTCAGTTAATGAAGATTTCTTAAAGATGACTGCAATAGCTAACATTGAAGTTTTATAAAGTATTTCAAGTACATTCTCTCATTTGAGACTTCTGATAATCCTGTGAGGTATTTATAGTTAATCATTTGTAATCTTAGTTGAAATCGGCCTTAGACACTTACTAGTTGTGACATCCTGGGCAAGTCACTTAACCTCTGCCTCAAGTTTCCTCATCTGTTAAATGAGGATAATAATGGTACCTACCTCCCATGGTTTGTTGTGAGGATCATGTAAGATAATAATTGTAAAGCACTTAGCATAGTGCCTGGCTGTGCTAAGCATTTTTACTTCTTTCTAATAGTTATATATTAGGTATTCATACATGTTGCGCTAGTATGGATTCTTAACAGACTATTGACCAAATATACTGACCTATTGTTTGGTTAGAAATCTGATCAGGAGTCTAGCGAGCAATAACTATTTTGTTACTAAATAAGATTCTTGCTCGTTATGCTTGTTGCCTAAAGTATCTTCTGGTTTCCAACGTAATAAAAAGGCTTACGTTTTTTTCCCACATATTTTCATGATGATCTGTAAGGAAGGACAAGTAATATACACATTTTATAGAAAAGGAACTGTAAAGCTCTTTGCTATGGTATTAGCACTGACTGACTTTAAGAGTCTAAGATAGATGGTTTGTCAAAATGATTACCAAATTTGGTAGATGAGATGTGCCATTTTAACACAATTTTAAGGATATTTAGGAATGAACCATTGTGTAGTGCAAATTATAGTCTTAATCAAATGAGGTTCTAACTACAATGGTGTTTGAAGTTAATGTTATTGAATTTTGTCTGTAAGGGTGGAGAAGAGAAAAAATGTTTAAAAAACTGTCAGCTTAATGACTTTTTTTTAAGGCTTTGTTTTGAGTACAGGTCAGAACCCCTTGGATCACTGCTATCTTTTTGTCCAGCATTTGCTGTTCTTTTACTCTCCCCAAAAGTGTATTTTCAAAAAATTCTATCTGTTTAGAGTTAAAGTAAGACCAATATCACCAAACAGAAGATGCTTCTTTATACTTAACCTTGAACAGGAATTTCAAGTTTCTTTTATGCTACCTAAAATGTGTGAAAACATATTTGGCTTTTGGAAGAACATTTGTGCTTTGAAATGTCTGTGGGGGAAATTATGCTCAAATTTGTGATTGCACTGATTTACTGCTCAGAAGGTCCTTCCATATCATCTAGAGAGCCCTGTTTGGACTTTTTTTTCTTTTGGCCTAGGCCATGATAGCAACTGAAATAGTCAAGGAATTAGTAAACCACTTAATTTGGGGTGGTTACCGTAGCATATAATTTTTAAGTTCTCAGATTTGAGGTATGGCTGTTACTATACATACATATATATTTATGTTTTATATATATGTAAAGTAAACACAGATTGAAGTAAGACTGGAGAACCTTTAAGCCATCATTAACAATTCTGAAAGTTACTAAATGTAAGTTCTATGTAATGAGTAAATAGCATTTAATGTTTCTCAATGAAGATTAAGCTTGTGGTGGGATATATTTTTTAATTTATTAATTTTTAGTTTTTAACATTCACTTCCACAGGATTTTGAGTTCCAAATTTTCTCCCCATCTCTCCCCTCCCTCCCAACATGGCTTGTATTCTGAATACCTCTTCCCCCAGTCTGCCCTCCCTTTATCAACCTCTTCCCTTTCTGTTATCCTATTGGGCAGGATAAGTTTCTATACCCTATTGCCTGTACATCTTATTTCCCACTTGCATGTAAAACAAATTTGGCGGGGGAGGGGGGGAACGAGGCAGTCTGGGTTAAGTGACTTTCCCAGGGTCACACAGCTAGTAAGTGTCAATGTCTGAGGTCCGATTTGAACTTGGGTCCTCCTGACTCCAAGTCTGGAAGTCTGTCCACTATGCTAACTCGCTGCCCCTATAAAAACAATTTTTAACATTTGTTTTTAAAACTGAGTTTTCAGATTTTTCCCTCCCTCCCCATCCACCCTCATTGAGAAGGCAAGCAATTCAACATAGGTTATACATGTGTGGTCATGCAAAACAATTCTATAATAGTCATGTTGTGAAAGACTATTATTTCCCTCCATCCTGTGTTCCCCCCCTTTATCCTATCCCGTCCTTTGACCCTGTCCCTCCTCAAAAGTGTTTGCTTCTGATTACCCCACTCCCTCATTCATTCTGCCCTCCCTTCTATCATCCGCCCTCTCTTACCCTCTGTCCCCCTATTGTCCTGTAGGGTAAGATAGATTTCCAAACTTAATTGAGTATGTATGTTATTCCCTCCTTAAGCCAAATCTGATGAGAGTAAGATTCACTCATTTCCTCTCGCCTCCCCCCTCTTCCCCTCCAGTGTAAAAGCTTTTCCTTGCCTCTTTTATGTGAGATAGATTAATCTTAATGTTGATTTAATAGGAAGTAAATTCCAAATTTGATTTGAAGGGTTTTTAAACTGCAAACCTATTTCCAAAAAAGTTGCTGTTATGTTAAGGGCTTAATAAGACAAAGTATGGTTCTTTATACAGTGGATTACATCCTCCCAACAGTAGTCTTTAATGTTTAAGTTTTTTCACATCACAAGTCAGTAGCCAAAAGATAGTCACCTACAATTGATTGGGTTTGTGAGATTTACTTACGATTTTTTGTTTTATTTTAATCCATTGTTGACAGTCTTTCAAAGAATACTACCAATGAATCTTTAGCTGTCTAATCTGAAAGTTCTAAAGTTCCATCTTTAGTGTGACCTTTAAGGTCATTAAAAGATGTAACATGATGGTATGGTTTCACCAAGTTTTGCCTTCATGGTAATCTCATATTTCATACTGGTAACAAATTAAAAGTCTAGAGACCCATGTGACTTTGGAGAGAAGGAAAGGGTTTTGTTTTGTTTTGTTTTTTAACTACTGGTAGCTCTGGATGTGTGGTTAGAAACCTCTCTACAAATGGATGACATGAAGCACTGGAGCAGTATACAGTGGTGCTACCTCACAGTTATGAGCAGTTTCTTAGGAGACCAAAAGAAACAAAAGGCAATTCTGAGGCTCAGGAACCACATATAGAATATAAGTTCTGAAAACTAGATCTGTCTCTTCTGTGTAAAACTAAACATTTTGACTAATATCAAAACTAGAATGTCAATATATAATAAAATTCAACAAATTCCAAATGTCTGCACGTGAAGTAATATTAGATGACTAGGGGGAAAGTGGCATTTCTCTTTCAATATGACATTCTTTTGATTATTTAGCATTATTTTAACTCTCAGCCTATTAGTAACTATAGGAAAATACTTCACTAGGAATTCTATAACTTTAGGATATATTTAAAATTCCTAAATCTTTTTTCTTTTTTCCCTGTTTTACTGATGGTAGGTTTGTGTTATTGTTTTTTAAGAAAACTGATTGGAGGCAAAATGAAGGTATTAATTGAGAAAAATAACTTTAGAGGAAGACAATTTTAGCATTGAATATATGAAATCACATGTAGATTCTAATAGGTAATAGAAATGAATGAGAGGAGTAGTAAGTTTACTAATCGTCATGGTAGTGCTTAGATAATGTGTTAGATGTGAAATTTCCTGTGGACATGCATGTTACCAATTGTCTAATTTGGTGTAACCACACCACAATTCCATTACTTGTACTGAGACTTATCACATGATGCACCACAGCCTTCTTGGCCCATACTCGGTGACTGCTTAGGAAATGTTGAAAGGTGTTTTGATTCCTTTTGTAGATTCCACCTATCTGACTTTCCTGCTCCTGGGAATTAGCACATTCTAAACTAGAAAGAAAATGAATATCTGTAGGGTCACTGACACTTTTTCTATATCCTCAACAATTATTGCTATATAGATACATAGAAAATGTTTTTGACATCGGTACAATTTTAATAAAGATATAATGTGGTTCTAGTGGATAATTGGCCAGCTTTAAAACCAGGAGGACCTGGGTTCAAGCCTCATCCTCCAACACATACTGTGACCCTGGACAAATCGAAGTGTTTTATAAGTTGTTTGTTGGAATTATTAAAGTCATAAAGGAATAGAACTTTAGTTATTTAAATGTGGAAACTTTTTTTTTATTGTTTAGATCCTATGGAAGGTAACATTTAATGGTCCATATACATTGAAACCTTAGAGGATAGGATAGTTATGGTTCATCGATAGTTCAGAAGCTTCATTTTTCTAATAACTTGAGTAGCTGTATGGCTTTAATAGGAAGAATCTTGGAGTTGGTGTTCTGACTGTGGGCTGAACTTATAGTTGTACTTTTAGGTATGTGATCTTGAACAAGCCTCACTACCTTATCTTTAAAATGAAAATGATACTTAGATACACTACTACCTTAAAAGGTTGAAATAACAAGTAATCCAAATAAAAGACTGAGAAATAATCATAGAGTGGGGGAATACTGAATTTGAAGTTAAAGGATCATAGGTTTAGAGGGAAAAGGCATCTTAGAGGTCCTTTAGTACAGTCATCTAATTTTACAGATAAGAAGACTGAAGCCCAAAGTTTTTCATACCTAGAGTCAAATAGTAAGTTGTAGAGTCAGAAATTGAATACATGCCCTCTGATTCCAAATCTAATAGTCTTTTTAAGATATGCTAGCTTCAGGACCTGAATTTGAAACCTCAGTCTGCTATTTACAAATGTTACAGACCTTGGTTTCCCTAAAGGTAAAATGAAAGTTTTATATCAGATTATCACCAAAGTCCCTTCTAGCTCTTAACTAAACCCTATACTAAATTCTAAGGAAATTAAGATTCAGTTGGGGGGGGGGGGTTGGAAAGGATTCTTGAAGAGCAAGTAGGTATTATTTGAGATGAATATTGAAAGGTAAGTAGCATTTTGATTAATGAGCACATTGGAGGAGTTGCAGATTTAAAGCTGAGGTTTTTTCCTTCCCACTCTATTTTATAACTTTCTGTACGTAGTTTGATATTTCCACTCATGTGTAGAGATAGTGTGTGTATGAACACACACACATGTATATTTGAATTAATAATTAATATATGTATATTGAATTAATATAGTGCCTCCTACGGGCACTATATTAGGTCCTAGGGATACAAAGAAAAACTAATCCCTTTCCTCAAGGAACAAAACATAATAATAGTACAGTGAGTTTTTCTGTAAAAGATTTGGTAAGTTTGGATTTACATTTTGGATTTTCTTCAAAAAATACTTGTTATGTCACACTGATCCTTTGTTTTAGGGTTAGAGTTATGAAAATTAGGTGAGTTATTTGGTAAGATATAGTAGAGTGCAGACTGTTTGACTTTATGCAGAAAGTTCTAATCAACCTGTGTAATTTAAATTTTTAAAAAATTAATGCTTAGAAAACATACATAGGAAATAGTCTAGTCAAACTGCAGTTTAATAGTAATAGCTGGCATTTATATCACTTTTAAGACTTGTAAAATGCTGTACAAATTTTAACTTATTTGATCCTATTAACAACGTTGGGACGTAGGTGCTATTATCCCCAGTTTACTGTTGGGGAACTGAGGTGGGCTGAAGTTAAGTGACTTGCCCACGCTCACAGAGCTAGTGTCTGAAGCTGGGTTTGAACTCAAGTCTTCTTGACTCTGGGTTTAATGCTTTATCCAGTGCCACCTCCTCAAAGCATTTGTTTGAATCTGCTTGAGAAAAAAATTATGGTGGATGTACTTCTGTTGATTTTTTTTTTTTTTTTTTTTTTTTTTTTTAAGTAAAAGCAACTTTAAAAATCTTTCCTGTTTTCTGTAACCTTTTTAGCAAAGAATGGCTCAGGAAGTCTTGACACACTTAAAGGAACATCCTGATGCATGGACAAGAGTTGATACAATTTTGGAATTTTCACAGAATATGAACACGAAAGTAAGCAAGTGGTGGTTTTAAAATTCATACTTCTCCTTTTCTTCCATACATAAACTTTGAGGAAGGTATCTCATTTACTGCACTAGCATTTGTTACTTCAAATAATTTTATCCTGTTTAATTACTAAAGTTCAAATTTTAATTCACCCTAAGAGACATAACATTTCTGTATCCCTGACAAATAGTCCTAACAAATAAATTATGAATGAAGTTTTGTTCTCAGGACTAGTATGCAAGGTGTGTTTTTATCCCTTCCATTTCGCTTTTTTAAGAGTTTATATGTATGCAGGTCTGAATTGTGTAAATTCTGATTATTATTCAGAGACAAAATACAACCTAATCAAAAGGATTATTCTGGGCAAGTAATCAATACAGGCTCTCCAACATCAAGTTGTATGGTTAGCTCTAACACTGACGTCATGTACCAATGCTTTTAATGGAACAGCACTCAGTTTTTATTTGCAATTTAAAATGTATGATTCAGGTTTTGTGGAGTTTTTTTTCCTTAAAAGTTTGAAAAGGCTGATCAAAATGTGTTTTGACTGTTTTAAGCTTGATGATTCACACTTTGCTTTAAAATAATTAAAAGAAATAAAATTACATGCGTGGCATTCTGTTTAATATACACAAAAGTTTCTCTATTTGTATGCTTTGTGTTAACAGAAACTAGCCATCTTCAGAATTTGTTTCTGAAATCAGATTGTGTTAATTAACAAGTTTTTAAAATATTAATTAGTTTTTAATCTTGTAAATTTTAGGGAAAAAATACAGTTCAGAACTTCCTCAAAGTGCTAACCTTAAGTAACAGTGTTTGCCTGTTTGCTTGCCTGGTAAATTTTGCTTTTTATACTGACAGACATTACTAATGTTTAAGTTGATTTATCAACAGTATTTTTAAAAACTCAAATTTGTCTTGTGAAAAATGAGATGATTAGAGGAACAGAAAGAAAGCAACAGGTAAAGAATTCTTCAATTTACATAAATTACAAGTGATTTGGTGCTAAATTTATGCACTCTGACATTTGGCTTTTTATGCAATCATTTTTTTTTTCTTTAAAGCTGTTTAACACTACCTGATATTAATCATAATGTTCCATTATGTTGATTGCTTGTAATAGGAAGAAAAGGGGTGTCTTCCTGTGCAACTGACACAGCTAGGCTTTGACGGCAGGCCTCCACAAGGTCTACCCTTTTGATTCCCTTTAACTGAATTCTGTTCATCAATTGTTTTTGTTTCTTGGGAGGTGGGAGGGGAAAGGGGATTCAATGCATAGAATGAGTAATTAAGGGTACAGTAGAAATTTCTACCATAGGGATCATTTCATGCATTTCTTTTTTCATTTAGTCTTTGCTGTTATCTGTCCCTCATCTTCATAACTCAGCAGTGGATTTCCACAAGTCTTAAGGCACAGGATAGTGTGAAGTAGCAATATAGCCACTTAGAATGCGTTAAAATTTTAAAAAATATTTGTACTATTATAGTAAATTTCTTTTTAAAAAAATTCATTTTGAAATTCTGAACCAAATTTCCCACCTTTCCCTGCAAAATTAGAGGCTTCTTTTTCTTAATTTTCTATAATTTAAAATTTTTATTTCATAATCCTGATAAACTTTGTGTTAGGATAGTAGTACAAAAAGTGTTTTGAACTTTCTTGGTATGGATCTAATTGGGTTTTACCCTCAACTGTCTAGTGGAGTGACAGAAAAATTAAGTTCAAATTAGAGCTTCTTTTTTGTGGTAATGGGTGGGTAATGAAGAGCTAGTAGGCTGTTGGATGATAGAAAAGAACTACAAAGCAAGAACAAAGTTTGGTAATATGAAAGAATATCTAAGCGAAAGATAGGAAATGTACATAAACTTTACTATAAATAACATTTTAAAGCTTATAAATGTTAGCTTTCATGTTCTTCACAGTGTTAAAATGGTAAACCATTGGTCCTGGTTAGCCTTTCATTTCTGTTTAAATGACAAGACTTTCTTTGGAGGCATTTATGTAGAAAAAGGAAAAAATAAAAACAAATAACCCCCAGATTATCTATATGTGGCTGGGGCAGTTTTTTTGTTTTAGTTTTAAGGTTGTTTAGGAAGCAGCATTAAGTTTTTCTTCTCTCTCCCCACCCCCAGCAAGTTTTCATTTTCATATATACACTGCATCATATTGGTTTTTTATGAATGTTATGCTATAATTTCATATTGGACAAAAGTTTTTCATAAATTTGTTTAGGAGAATGCATATTGGCTTATTCTTCGAACTTTTCAGAATTTCAGTGATTCAATATTTATATACATTTTTTTTTTACCTTTCCCCAGAGGTAGTTCTAGGGATTACAACTAGATGATAATAAGCTTCCATATTTACTGCTGGTTATGAAAACATAAATTGCATTAATCTGTGATTGCAGAATTACTTTGGCCTCATTTTTTTACTCTTTCCAGAAATGTTTTGCAGATGCAGAATTTGAATGGCCAATTTTTCCTAGAAATGTATGCAATATAAAAATGAAAGAAAACAGCAAAAACGCCTCTGTGTGTGTGTGTGTGTGTGTGTGTGTGTGTATGGACAGTCTGCATTGTGCTTTGGATAACATGAACATTAATATGATCCCTTTGGTTGAAATACTAATGATCCTATTTTACTGTGTAATAACTAACCATTTTAAAGATGAACTCTTATTCGCAGCCAAAACTTGCGATCTGAACTTCTGTATGTGAATGAATTTACCTTTCAGATATTGTTACTTATTTTTGTCCAGAACCAAATACTTAAGAGAAACCACAACATTTTTGTTCCTTTTCTTCATGCCTGATCATTCTAAATTGGTCATCTTTGTTATTTTGAGTAATAACTTACTATGAATAAATACTTGACTATTTAGAGTGAGTAGCAGGAGGGAGAAATGGCTTGTCAAGTGGTTGGTCTGCCTTTTTACTCACGCTGTTAGTCATGATTCTTATACTTAGGAAGGAATATCTGGAAGGTAAAGAACAATTGATTGCACCATATGTTTTATGTGTTATTTTGACTGTGTTCAAAAGTTTATCTTTAAATAAGTAGAAATAGCTACCTTAGGGGTGGGCATTAAAATTAAGTAAACCTGTGGGTTGTCTTGCTGCTCCTTAAGTAACACACCAGTGAAGTTTGTGACCACTTTCTATAGAAAGTGCCTATGAGAATGTCTTATACTTTGCCAAGAGCTTATAACTCATAGAAGAATGGTAGGAAGCTTGGTATACCATCCAAGCTACTAAATTCATAGGTGGTGTGGTTGTGTTAAAGTACTTGGGCATATGAACAGTCATTTATGCTGTGAATTCATATCTGGCTACTACTTTCTTTTCTACAGATAGCCCATTTGGCTGCCAAAGGGCCTTTTACTTGGTTCTTCCTCCTGGTGTGAGCATGATCAAACAGCAGGACTTTATACTTTATAGTATAGTAAACAGTAAAACAAGGAAAATGCATGAACAACTCAGTAATTGGGTGAATAGATTCTTGTTTAATGTATGTATAATTAAATTTGTTAGCTTAATACCTTTTTGAAACTTTAGATATATACGTGTGAATGTCTGTCTGAATGTGAATCCTGAAAGTTGTTGTCAGCCTTAGAACAATATATTCACATACTTCTGTTATCCGATTTTCAGTATTATGGACTACAAATCTTGGAAAATGTGATAAAGACAAGATGGAAAATTCTTCCAAGGAACCAATGTGAAGGTAGGAATGTGCTTTAAATGATTGTAACTAAGGGAGGTGTCAGTCTTAGGCTTTAATATCTTAGCATCAGCTAAGTGTTGCAATGGGTAGTGTGGGACTTGGAATCAAAAACTTGAATTTGAATTATGCCTCAGGCATTTAATAGGTCTGTGACCCTAGGCAAGATGCTTACGTTATCTCCACCTAGGTTTTCTCATTTATAAAATGAGGATAATAAGGTTACCCTGAGGACCAAGCTAGGTGTATATGTAAAGCATTTTGTAAAACCTTTTAAAGTCCTACATTAATATACTAGTTTTTTATGTTCATTTATGCATTGCATTGTAAGATGACCTCATTCTAAATTCACTTGATTGAAACTTTGTAGTTTACTGGTATTGTAGTTTTTCCTATTTTTTATTATGTAGTAAACTAGCTTTATTTCTCTTTTGGGACTGAGGTGGTCTTTGTGAGGAGGAAAAATATTAGTCACAAAGCAGATTTTGTTTTTAGATTTCTTTTTTAGATGTTTTTTAATAACGTCCCAGTTTAATGGCTTGCTAATTTCTCGCTATTTTTCGATATAACGTAATTTTAGCCAACACAAGGCAACAGGTATTTATTAAGCATTAGCTGTGTGGCAGGCACATTTTGCTAAACATTGGGGATAAAAATACAGGCAAAAGGAAAGTCAAGTCTTCCCCTCAAAGAGTTTACATTCTAATCAAGCAATATTACACATAAAAGGGAGCTGAAACATTCGTGGCCATAGGGAAGGTGCTTGTACAGGGGCACATGGTAGCAAAATCCATAGGGTTAGAAGCACAGCTGAGAGAAGAATGAAGCATGGCTGGCCTGGTCCTGTCACCCAAACAAAAAAGTCTATTACTGAATAAAATTTTATTTGTAGTTCATCTTGTAAGCATATAACTAACAAAGAAAACTGCCAACAATAAATCTGTTTTCTATATTTTCTGCTTGTGGGAAATCATCTGTAATTGGTAACATAACAGAGCCAAAATTTAGGTACTGAACAAGTCAGTCATAGAACATTATTTACCACAGTCTTGGACTGGTATAAGAGGTCCAGGGAACAGCCTATCAGAATAGAATGAGATAAATTTTTTGTCTAGCAGACAAAGGTATTTCTTTAACATTTGTAACTTTTTCTTTTGCATTTTTTGTGTTGGATAAACAGGGATATAGATTTTTGGCTTGGTATTTTTAGAGTTCTTTTCATGACTTACTCCTAGCACAGTACTCTTCATCTGATCCATTTATTTGTGTATTGCAAATGTCTGACATTTATAGAGTATTATATAGGGTTTTTTAAAAGCTTGATACATACCTTATTTGACCAGCATAACAGCTCTGAGGTGTGGAGGTTGCCCAGTGTCACACCATACTTCAGTGCTCTCTATGTAAAACCTCTTATTCCACTTATAAAGTTGTAGACTCCTTGGGAATATGTTTTGGCTTATTTTTGCATGGCCTCCATTACTACCTGTGTGACTTTTGATAAGTCAGTTTTCTCTCCCGTAAAATAAGAGGATTAGACTAGACATTCCAGATCCCTTCCAGCCTTAATACAGAATATTTGTCTCATACGTGCCTTGTAGTTGTATTGTTTGTATGTATTAAAGCCAATCATTCTCTGTGCTTCCCACCATACCCTGCCCTCACATCCTAAACCCCTTCTGGGTACCCAATTTACTTTGCTTATATGTAGAGCTCAACTTTTACTTAAGGAGTAGATCCATTGCCTTGATTAAAGACAGTATAGCTAGGAATGTAAAACTTAGTTTAGCTATCTTAGGAGCTATACCTCATGTTGTTCGTACCTTAATTGAGACCACAATCCCTCCTCTTCCCCCCACCCAAACAAAAAGAAGATTGGGTTACTTCATCTTTATTATTGGGCATTAAAGTCACAAACATAGATAGAAAAGGTGAAATTAGTTACAACTTGTCAGAATCTTCTGGCTCTCATGACTCCCAAGACTAGCAGGCTTAATGGGTCCCTGGGGATCTGAGTAAGCTATCCCTACCTAGATGAAACTACAAATTTTCAGGGTCAAGATACTTTATAAAAATTGCTTCAAAATAATATTTAGATATTGGGGAATCTCAAGCAATTAACATGATATTCTTTATGGTTTTTAAAATAAAAAATGTTGATTAGTTATGTTAGAAGTAATTGTGGAAGGAAAAATAAGCAAAACGCCTGTTTTTATCTTACAGTAGGATCTTGTAATTAACTATACATGTAGACACTCCAAAACCATAAATATAAGCATAGCATTTTATTCCACACTTGTATCATTAAAATATTTGTACATATGTGTGTATAGTTGTTTCTGCCAACCAGTTAACACACCTTTTATGTGCAAAATAATGCTGTTTGAAGCTGGGGGTATAAATAGGTATAAGAAGTTTTACTACTCCAAAAAATTTGCAATATACTGGGATAGTATGTTACATGTAAGAGTATTTAATGATAAAAGGGAGCATGTAAGTAGCAAATGAATTTGGATTTTAAATGCTATAGATATTAATAGCAGGAGGAAAGCTGCTGGGACTGGGCTTGGGAAAAAGGATAGGCTTAGGTTTCAGTTAACTAGGAATGGGGTAGTTAGGTGGTGCCATGCATAGAGCTCTAGACCTTGAATCAGGAAGGGCCTGAGTTCAAATCCAGCCTCAGACACTTCTAGTTATGTGACCCTAAGCAAGTTACTTAACCTTGTTTGCCTCAGTTTCCTCATCTGTTAAAATGGGCTTGGGGAATTACAGGCAGGAGGCTTGAAAGAGGGTCTGCAATTGATAGGTTAAGGGAACATTGTAGTCTAGCTTTGTTGGTACAGTAGATTCATGGTGATAAGGTTGCAAAGACCATGATAAACATAGGCTTGAATGACAAGCTGAGAAATTCTGTAGGCATTTAATTCTTTAAAAAAGAAAGAAAGAAAGACTCCAGTAGCAGAATGCCAGTGTGGGCGAAATGTTATTTTAAAAAAATTTACAGGATAAACTATCACAACTTGGCTTTTTAGTTTAGGCCTTGTTCCTTCCACAATTTTACTTCATCCTGCTTTCCAGATAAGTAAATAGTCATATGGAACATTCTGCTGGGTACACGGGGATTAAAAGTTTAGATGAGATGCAGTTGTTGCCCAGATGGCATATAGTATTGTGAAGGGGACATGACATAACTTTAATTCAAAACAAAATGTTCATGAGAGACAAAAGTGCTGTATGAGTTCAGAAGTTAATTAATTTCGAGGAAGAGAAAAGTAACTGAAAGAGGAATGTATCTTTTATATCATGACAGGTTGTTGTTATAATGCTAGAATTAAAATCTGGAAGATCTGAGTTCAAATATGTTTGGATAATAAGCGGTGGTGGAAGTGTTGGAGAAATAAGAATTGTGCATAAGTCTTGGGCACATTGTTAAAGAGGAGACCTGTTAGATAATAGTCCTGATAGTGGGTCGTAAGGATCTCTTATTAGATATAGAGCAGAGGTGTCAGGCCACATGTGATCTATCCATAATATTCACTAGTGTGGCCCAAACTAAATTAAATGTAATTTGGAAATATGTGACACAATAATTAAAAAATAGGTATATTAATATGCAATATTCTAAGTCAGTACTCAGCCCACAGGGATCCTTATGTAGTAGGATTTAGTGGTCCTCATTTCTGTTTGAGTTAGATACCACTGGTGTAGAGAATAGAGAAGACTAGACCAGACTTGCTAATTGGTTGTAAGAGGTAAAGAAAGAGTCAAATATAACCCTAAAGTATTGAGTGAAATGTTTAGTGAATTCCCTGACAACAATATTGAAGTCAGTCAGGTTTGGGAGCAAAGACGAAACAGTTTTGTTTTGGACATGTTGAGTTGCTAGAGCTAAGCTTACTACTTTTTTAGTAAGGGCCAGAGGTGATAGTAGAAGCTATGAAAATGAATAATGATTTCCAAGAAATGTAAGATAATTAAGGGCATAATTTGGGGGATGTGAGGAGCTAAAGGAGTTGTTTTTTTGTTTTTTAAACATTGTGGAGACCTGGGTATGTTACTAGATAATAAAGGGGCCTTGTTGAGAAAGGGAGGAAGATAGAAAAGATGGGGGGGGGGAGGAATTATGACTACAGAGACCTGGAAGGAAGCAAGGAGATTCATATAATCAAGGGTCCAGAGAGGATTAAGCATTAGCAAGCAGGATACAATACCCTCTTATCTGAAGAGAGGTAACAGTAGTGGTGAGGGGTGTTGAGAAGGAAGGAGTATGAGGAGACTCAGTTATCAGTAAAGAAGACCACTGATTTGTCTGCTCTGTTTGGGTTTTGTTAGGCAGTGGGGTTAAGTGACTTGCCCAGGGTCACACAGCTAGTAGATGTTATGTGTCTAAGGCTGAATTTGAACTCAGGTCCTCCTGAATCCAGGGCTCTATGTACTGCACCACCTAGCTACCCCTGTCTGCTGTGTGAAGTCAGCATTATGGATACAATGTAGCCAGGGGCTTTAGGAGTAAGGTTAAAATTTAGGATAGTTGCAGGGGGAAATGAGCTGTTAATGATCAAGTGGAATGATTATGGGGCAGAAGTACGCATCTAGTTCAGGCTTCTTGTTAGTGTCCATTGACATTCATCAGCTAGGAACCAGTTGAGGGGGGCTTAGTATTAAAGTGGCAGGTCTGTGGAATCAAATCTGGATATGGAGACATGGAGGCAGAAAGGGGAGTTGAATTAGGAGACTAGACAAGTGATTAGTGGTTTTGGTGAAGGGAGCAGGAGAGGAAGGTTGGGGATCTTGATCAGGATCCTGAAAATGTCACAGTTGTTGAAATGATATGAAATGTGGCCATGCCCATCCAGTACATGGCTGAAGTTGGAGGTGAAGGGAGGAGGTAATGGGATTTAGGGAGTTACAGAGACAGAATGGTATTATAAAGACTACTCAATCAAATGTAGAAATCATTGAAGAAGTTGGGAGGTGACCTTGAAAAGCAAGATAGTTTTGAT